ACAATTATATTGCTTGATTACATAACTGCAGCCACAACTGGAATACATTTAGTCATTCCTATATTCTAGGTGCTAAAACAAAGTGCATTTCTATTATAAAAGAAGTAGAGACGTGCATTTTAATTCAGAAATATTTGGAATTCACTGAACAACAGCATATATGGATAGTTTTGAATATTACCAAATCAAAATTTGATAGTTCTTCATATTAGCCGCCTAGAGTGGTCCTCGCTTGACCAGATAGGTGGGATATAAATAAAATAAAATAAAATAAAATAAAATAAATAAATAAATAAATAAATATAAAACTGTATATTTTAAATTGTTTTTATCTTCTAAATTGTGAGCCGCCCAGAGTAGACTATGTCTAGATGGGCGGCATATAAATGCAATAAATAAATAAATTAAAAAAATATAAATAAATAATAATAATTCCTAATATTCAGAGACCCGTTTAGTCCTACAGATTAGAAAGCAAAAGGATAGGTTTCTGCTTGGTAGAAGATGGAACGCTATTTCTCAGGTGTACTGGAAGGATTTCTTGAGAAATGAAACTTAAAGACCCTCTGGCAACAAGGGTAGTGGGCATTGTCATGGGCTAAGAAAGGGAGGAGGGGCTGGGTCAGACCAAAACCTGTAAATGATGACTATCTGATCAACAAAAATTAGAAGCAATAACAAACACCAAGTTTTTTTAAAAACACACTGGTTCTTTCCAAGTGAAAGATGGGCACAGCCGTTTGTAAATGCCCTGAGTGTTTGCTCTTATGATACGCTCTGATGCAAATTTACACAGCAGCAATTTTCTCTGTATCCTTTTCTGAACCCACAACTTGCATGCACATTATTTACATCTCACTGTATATATTTTTTTACTTAATATAGATAGGAATAAGATTTGGGATTAATATATTCATAGGTTAATAATGCTAAAACAAAGTGGAAATATTATATTAGGTTTAAGCCTCCTTGAGATATACTAGGCAGGGGAATAAGATTTTTATAGACAGATAAAGTAAAAAATAAATAGTAAATTTGTGTCTCTGATTGTGTCCGTGTGCTTTTTATTGGAAGGTTTTGTGTTTTGCGGCAGCAGAATCAGATAATTCTTTGGGTAAAGTCTAAAGGCAGTATGAAAAGTGGGTGTGGTAGAAGAAGTAGTCACTTGGGGAAGGCTGCAGGAATGCTGCCTGCACTCACTGCAGCAGCTTCTATTGAGAAGAGTGGGAAAAGGAGAGGAAAAAGGCAGCTTATAACTGCCATTATGTGCCCTCCAAACAAGATCTGTTACCCAACTGCCTTGTTCAGCAGTATGAAAAAGCAGAAGACAGCAGTATGGTGTGTATGTGTCTCTACCACTGGGCTATGACTCTTCTAGGTGTGTCTCAAATCTATGCAGGTGTATCTCAAATCTATCTCATATGCTCACTGGACATCAGTTATTCTAGTGGTGGGGAATGTTTGGCCCTCTACATAGTTTGGACCAAAATTTCCATAATTCCCTATGATGGCTAAGGTTTCTGGGAAGTGAAGTCCAAAATATTTCAATATTTCATATATATAGTGACTAACTTCTTACACGGCTGAAGGCTTCTGACTGTTCGCCATGGCTCTGAAGAGGGATGAATCTAGCTCAAAGGCCTAGCCTTTTTTTATCTCCAGGGATTATTTTGGAAGCCAAATGTGTAATGGTACAGCAATATTCAAATTGACAGTAAACCCCACTGAATTCAATAGGGCTTGCTTTTGAGCAAACACATAGGATTGTGTAGTATACTGATATCCTGCTTGCTCAATTTTAGAAAAATCAACAGTCATTTTAAGCAGTCTGCCTGAAAGGAGCTTATTTATGTTCTTTGAAAAATTAACAAACAAAACCATTTGCATCAAGCTTGTCTTCCCTGGTTGCTAACTAGCAATTATTTGATCCTTATGCATAAAGAGGGCCTCACCTTTCTTATGAACATGCATTTGCTGCTTGTTATCTATGCTAGTGCCTTTCTGTTCCTGTCACAGTTAACGATCTTTCAAGATAATATTTTTCCAATAATGAATGGCAGCAACCTTTTGGCTTAGATGTAAAGTAGAAGAGCTGTTATTCTCACATGCACTGAAAAAAGTCTGAAAGGGCTTTGGGATACAGAAAACAGTAGTAACAACATATAAATACGAAACACAGTTTCACTAGACAAAAATTGCTGCTCAGTATATGCCCATAAAGGGAAATATACATCTGCTTGTTACCTAGAAAATGACAATGAGTGTCGGATGTACCATTGGGGGTAATTTTCTTTATCCAGAGCCAAAAGGCCACTGGTTGTGCATTTATCTGTTACATGCAGTATGGCATTTATAAAGTGAAGAAGACTGCATATGTATGTGTTACATAAATCAATATTCGTATGCTGTCAAAAGGCAGCTCAGAACACACTAAAGTTAAAGGTAAAAGGTTCCCCTTGACATTTATTCCAGTCGTGCTCATCCCCGTTTCCAAGCCATAGAGCCAGCGTTTGTCCAAAGACAATCCTCCGTAGTCACGTGGCCAGTGCGACTAGCCACGGAACGCCGTTACCTTCCCAACGAGGTGGTACCTATTTATCTACTCGCATTTTTATATGCTTTCGAACTGCTAGGTTGGCAGGAGCTGGGACAAGCGACGGGAGCTCACTCTGTTGCGTGGATTCGATCTTATGACTGCTGGTCTTCTGACTGTGCAGCATAGAGTCTTCTGTGGTTTAACCCATAGCGCCACACTAAACCTATAAAATTAACCAGTGTACTACAAAGTCACAAGAATGAAACATCACTCAAACATTTGGCTGTACAAACATAACCACTACCAAATCAAAGCAGCTCAAATTAAGAGGTTTGATAAAGTAGTGGATGAAACACAGAAAACTGAAAAATCAATTGAAACAGAAATCTCTTCAATGTCTACTTAAGAAACAATACAGTATGACCTAGGCATACCCATCCAGGAAACAAACATGGAGCCACTACTGAGAAGGACCAATGTCTGGTGCCTGTTGACAGAATGTATCTTAACAAAATGCTGAAGAACAGGGTCACTGAAGCGAATCCTAAAGCCTGGGCAGTTTCATTTGGATATAGGCATTCATCTTAATTTGATCCTAAACCACTTAGGGATGTAAATGTAATCACCTGGACTTTAAACTGAGCCAAGAAACACAAGCAATCAATGTAGATGTAAAAGAAAAGGCAATATATGTTTAGACCTCCTGCACTGAGAAGCACCTGGGCAACTGGATTCCATGCTAGTTGAACTTTTCAAGTAGTATTTAAAGAGAATTCTACATACAACACGTTGTGACAGCCTTATATAGGTGTAACCAAGGTCAGGCATAACTGTGACAAAGGCTTTGTTCTCAATATAAGGTCACTGCTGGTAAACACACTTCTAGCCATCAATGCCATAGATGCCCCCACTGACAGTTCAGAGTCCAGGAGGGTACCAAAAGAAAGAACGTTGTCTTTCAAGGAGAATAAACTCCCACTCAGAAATGGTTGTGCACCTGCTTCTAGAACAGTAGCACCTCTGTCTTATTTCAGTTAAGTCACAGATTGCTTGCCCTTATCCATCCCCAAACTGTCTGCCTAATTGTTCGAGATTTCATAGAACAAGAAAGATGACAATAAGGAGGTAGAGCTGCTTTGATGTCTGCATGATTTCTCATGACAGTTTCATATAGGTGTTAAAAGTCACAGTTGGGGTGCAAGATGGCTTCCTGAGGTACCCAAAGATTAGTGGCCACAAGGTGTATCCGTAATGCACTAGCACTATTTTCTCAGTCTGCCCCTCCAAAAAAGGGCTAGACTAATTATAAAACCACAGCTTCTACCTGAAATCTAGCCAGGAAGATACTCTACTTCTGAGATAATAAAGCTCTGTCCCATAGGGGCAAACCAATTAAAAAAAAATCTGTAACACTGGAAGAAGACCTCCATCCTTATGTTTGATTGATGATGCAAAATAAGACTTGGGTTTCTTCTCCAAAGACTAGAGAAAGGCAGTCTCCCTCTAACATACAAAGTTATAGTTCCTTCCTTCTAGCAGAGAAAGGGAGGAGAAAAGGTTCTGCAACTGTGTAGAGAAGATTACAGTGGTATTAAGTGAATAACAAAAAATACTTCTTAATTGTTAGAGCAGTATGACAATGGAACCAATGATCTCAGGAGGCGCTGAACGCTCCAGCACTGGAGTCATTAAAGAGAAAATTAGATGATGATCTGCCAAATTTGCTTTGATTTAGCTTCTTTCCTTGAGCAGGGGATTAGACTTGATGGCCTTATAGGCCCCTTCCAACTCAATTATTCTATGATTCCACACTTCTTTGCACGGAAGAAACGGTAAGCCATTCAAACACAGAGAAGCATGAAGGGATCACTGCGTACGTCTCAGTGTATGGGGAAAAAGGACACCTATGATGCCATCGGGATATCCAGTGTGGTGGAGTGGAGTGGGACTAGGACTCAGGAGAACTGGGCTCACATCCCTGCTCGGACATAGGAACTCCTTGGGCAGTGAAATGGTAAAACCTTAAACATCTCATTTACCTTGAAAGCCCAACAGTGAGTGAGGGTGGTGAAATGGTAAAACCTTAAACATCTCACTTACCTTGAAAGCCCTATTAGGATCGCTGTTAAATCAGTTTCGACTTGGCAGCACATAACACACACATGATGTCAGGAACTATGGCATTATAAGAAAGAGCACAACTTCAGAAAGACCTATCCCCCTGACATGATCTGACAAACCTTTGAGTGCAAACCAGAACAGTTCCCCATACCTGGCACAGTCAAAGACAGAGAACGCCACCCAGAGGGGGAGGAGGTGAATAGGGAAGCATTCTGTTCTGTTCCCTTTCTGTTCATTAACTGGCAGCAGTGTTATCAGAAAGATAACCGATCAAAGGCCAAAAAAGACCAACCATTTCCCTTCCGTTGCTAGTGGTATTTTACGAAAGCTGTCTTCTACTCACCACATGAGTGACATTCAAGGTGTTACCATCAAATCTGCACAAACTTGTGCTATCTTCTAGGAAAATGTCACACTCTTCCAGCTCCTGGGCATTGCATGGAGGATTCTCTTTGGTAGGATCTGGATTCTGAAACAAACAAACAAAAATTATTTCATTTAGATTTCTAGGCCTTTTGTAAGTGCACAAAGGTGAAAAAAACAGAACAAGATGATCACACCTTAAAGCAGTGTAGGTAAAAAAAGAAGAAGGTGGAACGGAACTCCTAAAAGCCTCCAGGAATGGCAGTTCACCTCTAAAGCAAAGGCCCCACCACACTACAGTATTTAATACAATAAATGCTGCGCTTTTTGGTCTTCCTTTTGGTGTGTGTTAGTTTTGTTTTACACTTTTTAGTGGTCTGTGGACTAAGGACAATCCCAGAGAGAACAATGGACTGTGGATTTGCCCACGTTGCCCATGCCTGCTGTAAAGTTATTATGATAACATATCCAAAGAAAACTACAAAATATGTTTTACATGATATATTTCAAAAGGAGTTCAAACAAGGTATTTCTTTACTTCTGGCTACAAAAGGAGCAGTGAGAATACATGGTGATCCATTCGTGGCTTGTATCATTTCACTCTGCAGATGGAGAAGTTAATTATTTCTTCATGTAAGAAAATACCCGATTCATAGAAAACTAGAGTATCAATGAGACAGCTGGATCAAAATTATTCTCTTTGAGCTTATGTGTGTTGATTTTCCTTCTTCATTGTAAACAGCTCTCTTCCACTCTACCTAAATCAAACAGAGCCATTCTGGATTTCTGTCAGTATTTGACATCAATAGCATGGATTCATAGAAGATAGAGAGCTTCTGGGTCAATCAAAATGCAACTTAAGAAATACGAGATGCAGCTGCTACTAGATGAAACCTCCATTTAGAACTTCAGGGTTGCAGTTTGAAGGTACTTTTCTAGACTTAGTCTCCAATTCTAAACATCCAGGTTATGGAAGTGGCCAGGAGGACAATCACCCAATTGAGGCTAATGTGTCTGTTACATACAGCACTGATGTTACCTGTCTGTCATGGGTTTGGAGGGAAAGTTCCATCCTATGGGGAGTGGAAGGCGGGACATCAGGAGGAGGGGCTGTACTGTATATATATGCAGAGCTGAAGGAGAAGCTGGAGAAGAGCTGAGATAAGAAGCTTGAGTGGGAGTCTGTGTGTCAGACAGGGTACTACTGTGGGTCAGTCAGTACCAACCTGATAGGTTCAGGTGTCTGTATGGTTAGCCAGAACTGATAGGTTCAGGGTCTGTGCTTCAAGTTAAGTGTTCTGTGTGAACCAAACTGTGTGTATGTATGATTGAGACTAAGCCACGTTACTGTATCTTATTCACCTGATCATTTTATTTTCCCTGTGTGTTGGTTTAAATAAACCTTGTTCTTTTATTTGTTAAAAATCCATCCCTGGTCTGTGTGACTTCTTATAGGGAATGGTTGGTGGCAGCTTAGTGAAACTGTGGCATATCCCAGTAGGTCTGGGTTTGTCACAGTGTCAACCACAACATTGTGGTCTTGGTGTCAGAACTGGGCATGGTGATACCTGACTAAGCTGTACACCATCTAGACTACTATAGTGTAGTAATTTAAACTTAGAACTTCAGCTATGGTTGACCAGGGCAGGTTAACAGAAGTATGTGACTCCCTTACTGCAACAGCTTCACTGCTTACTTGTCTGTTCGTTGGCATAAGTCAAAATGATGGCTTTGGCCAAAATACCTCTCTATGTTTAGGGAGCAGCCTGTCTGAAAGACAGCATTTTTCCCATATATGTTTACTCGGGTTTTTAAATCTCTGCAAAAGATCTGTCTTAGCCCCTTACATTTGGTGGGGATGGAAATGAGTTTTTCCCCCAGCAACCACTCCTGCCAGGATTGATTGGCTGGCTCTCTCTCCAAAGACCTTGCTAGATTTCTGGGTCAGATCAGCTGCTGTTGAGATTAGACTTAACTGTTTGGGTAAAATTATTTTTTGTTAGCTGATGAGTTTTTGTATTTCTATGCACATCTGTTTTTATTTCAATTTTGTTTCTATTAGTGGTCTTGAAAACCATTATTTTTGCCAGAAAGGCAGGATATAAATTTGATGAATAAAATATAATTCTGTAGGGGACGTTCAAAATGATAGCTCTGCACATGTTGAACCAACATTCAGATGCTTCCAAGCCTTGAGAGAATGCTACAGCTGTAGCACATCTCTAAAACAACATATTTCATTACAGAGACAGAAGCACAGACAGGGTAGTATTGTCAGATCACAACTCAAGAAATCCTATTGTAGAACCCGTGTGGCTGATCAGGTTTTTCTTCTTTTTCTTTTCTTTTTACTTTTAAAGAAAAATATTTTACAGCTCCAAAAGGTCTTAAAGGCATGTGCAACCCCTAAACCTCTAGAAGCTGCCCTCCCAGTTCTACAGAGATAAATAACTGACTACCAGTAAAAGAGGTCAACTGACTGTTAAAAATAACAGTTATATTCCACAATCTGTTTGCACACACTGATTGTGCATTAAACGGGGTGCATATTTATATATTCCAGCAGGACGCTCTTCATGCCGACGCTGCCCTCCCAGTTCTACAGAGATAAATAACTGACTACCAGTAAAAGAGATCAACTGACTGTAAAAAATAAGTTATATTCCACAATCTGTTTGCACACATTGATTGTGCATTAAACGGGGTACATATTTGTATATTCCAGCAGGACGCTCTTCATGCCGACAACAAAGAGTCACAAGACAACAGTTTGCTTTTGCTCATGAATAGAATGTGAATGTGAAGAAAAACACCCTTGAGGTTGTTTACAACTTGCCACACTTCTTTTCTCTGAATATTCAAAAGTCATGGTAATAGTAGGCCAACAACAATGACATTTTTCACTTGTAATAGTGTCAGAATTTTAAAAACAGGAATATGTGTAAAATCAATAGTAAAGAGGGTTACAAAAATAAGGCAGGTGGATGGTATCTTCAGATATGACACAATCACATTTGAGTTGGTCATTCACCTACATATGGTTGTTTTAGTTTAATCGGTATAATTGCTTTATCTTTATTATGTGTGTTGTTCTAAGAACCCAGGCTGCAGAAGACTCATTAACTCATAATCATCTGGTGTGTTGACTAGCTCCTTACAAGTGTGACTAGACTTTTCAATTTCTGCTTTCAGCACAGAAATTGGAGGAGGAGAAAATAAAACCAAAGGCTGCCTTACCAGGCACCTGCTATTTACTCTATAGCTTCCTGAAGCACTCTCCACTGCTTCTAAATAGGAAAAAAAGATTTCTCCTAAAAGGAAAAGACAGCTGCCCAAATGGGATTAAATCAGACCGAAAATTGCAAAGCAAAAGCTGAGAGCAGAATTTAGATGTGTGGGGGGAAAAAGCAATATACTAATAGTAGTATCATTTCCTGTGATCTTGATGCTATCCCCCTGTTGATGCAGCCTAGGACTGTGTTGGCTTTCTTGGCAGCTGCAGCACTGTTGACTCATCCTTAGGTGATGGTCCACCAGAACACCTAAATCCCTCTCACAGGTATTACTGTCGAGCCAGGCATCACCTATCTTGTACCGGTGCATCTGGTTTCTCCTGCTTAAGTGCAGGACCATACTTTTCCCACCACTGAACTGCATCTTATTGGATAGGGCCCAATATTCAAGTTGGGTCTGTCTAGATCCTTCTGAACGTTGAGTCTATCTTCCAAAGTATTAGCAATTCTTCCCAGCTTTGTGTCATCAGCAAATATGATAAGTGCTCCTTCAATCCCCTCATCCAGGTTATTTATGAAAATGTTGAAGAGCACTAGGCCCAAGACAGAACCTTGAGGAACCCCACTGCACACTTCCCTCCACGTAGATGTGGTTAATCTATCTATCACCTGTTGAGTGTGGTTGGTCAGCCAGCTGCAAATCTATCTAGTATTTGCGCTGTCTATCCCATTTTGTTCTATCTTACACAAAAGCAGGTTGTGGTCTACCTTATCAAATGCCTTATTGAGGTCTAAGTATATTACACCCACTGTGTTTCCTTGGTGCACTAATTTAGTCACGTTATCAAAGAAGGCAATAAGACTGGTTTGGTATGACCAGTTCTTAACAAACCCATGCTGGCTTCTTGTAATCACCGTGCTCTTTTCTAGGTGTTCACAAATCTGCTGCTTGATTGTTTTTTCCCAGGATTTTCCCAGATACAACCCCCCCCCCCAAATCTTCTGGCCTTTTCCTCTTTACTTCAGCTCTGTTGTGCCCTCTAAACCTTCAGTTGAGGGCCTCCCAACTATGACAATTTCAAAAAATCTGCAGCCATGTTGCCAAGTTTTTAGTCAAAGCTGAAGTTCTCTACCCTTATCACATGCATTGGGAGGAAAGTAACTTGTGCTAGTGATTAAATTAAAATGTGAGTATTGAGTTTTCAGAAAGAGCTGAAAGTTACTTTTTTGGACTATGGTGGCCAAGGTGGCTGAGGGGTTGTGAGATAAAAATGTACCTTTCCTATCTGGCTACTTCTGGTTTAAGAAACATCAACAAAAAGGTTGTGTCCTACATGTGCTTTCACACTCATATTTCATATATAAAGACTCTCTCCCTCTCCCTCATTCTCTTCTTATTCTATGTGGAGGCATTGGTGTACACCTAGCTTTTGTAAAAAAAAAATCCACATAGAATACTGTCTCTATTTTCATCTGGGAAGTGCTGGAGGGCATGTTATCTTTTTTAGTTCTTAAAGCCACTGAAAAGAGCTCAGGGCCACAAAACCTTAATGTCACAATAGATCTGCTGGCCTTTAAGGGTGCTATGGGACTCTCTTTTCACAGTAGTGCCACTATTGCTTGAAGCCTCGGAAGGAGAAATCATGAAGTGTCTCTCAAATAGTAAAGAATTACTGTAGAACCAAACATTATCAAGATCAATGCAGAGCCATGCTACATTCATTCACTACACACCAACCAGCTGCCTCAACAGGAGTCTTCAAACAGTACAGGGCTTCTTGAAATCTCTTCCTAAAATCAAAAGACACCAGCTCCTGACTCCTCTCTTTACCACCTATCTGTGGGCAGAATTAGATATGATAAACAGATGCTGCTGAAGGCAGCTCCCCTTCTCTTCCCTGCGTACAATGTGAAGTTACGTAAGTATCCAATGCCAGGTTTTCCCCACCTGTCTTCCAAATTATTAGCTGCCATTGAAAACCTAGTGAATGAAGATAGGACATTCACACTTTTCTTGTGATGATACATTATAGGCAGAGAAATGGGAACCTTGTGCAGTATTGGTATTTTTAGCTGCTCTTTACTATCTTCTCATCTATTTCCATCCAGTTGGCTTTGATACATCAAAGTGAAATTGGTCAATTTTTCGCATTCATAAATATTATAAGTTTATAAGGCAGGCTGCCATTATAGGGTACAATATGTGGCCAAATTCATGTTTCCCAACCTACAGTACAACTCTCAATAAGAGGAAAAAAGTAGAGAGAACCTTATCTTTCATGTCTAGCAGTTTACTTATTTTAGCTGATCAAAGTAACATCAGAAATGATGGTATCAAGAGGCTGTGTTCTAGTAGTAGTTTAGAATTCTAAAGCAAACTCGTAAATTTGAAAGATCTGAATGGAGTTGTTAAGAACAGACCCAGGTGGGGAATCACCAGAAGTTGGCAGTGATTTGATGGCATGTAACAACATTTTAGAGTGGTATGTGGGTGGCACTGTAAGTTAAACCACAAAGCCTCTGGGCTGCAAGGTCGAAAGATCAGCAGTTCAAATCCATGTGACAGAGTGAGCTCCCATCGCTTGTCCCAGCTCCTGCCAACCTAGTAGTTCAAAAGTATAGAAAAATGTGAGTAGATAAATAGATACCACCATGGTGGGAAGGTAACGGCATTGCATGTCTAGTCACACTGGCCACGTGACCACGGAGACTGTCTACGGACAAAACATTGGCTCTATGGCTTGGAAACAGGGGTGAGCACCGCCCCCTAGAGTTGGACACGACTGGACAATTGTCAAGGGGAACCTTTACCTTTTAACAACATTTTAAGCAAGACTAATAATGCACCCATTTTCAAGATTGCAACCTCATTACAATGTGCAATTACTAGTTTATCCACTGCAGCGATTTCAGGGGGTTCATATCCGAATAAACCTATACAGACCTGCAGCTATTTTTCTCTCTTTATCAAGAGTTTATTTTATCATCACATTACCATTTCATCAGAGGTAAGATGCATCAGGTGCTCAGCTACTGCTGCATTCTGCGCTGGGTCCATGATGTATTCCCCCTGGGCGTCACCAATGATCAGCTCTGGCCATAAAGGTCCCTCTTCTCTTTTAACCAAAGAAATCTCTAAACTGGGGGATAAAAAGAGATAAAAGAGTTTGGAAGACCAGAAAGGTGAGACAAAATGGCAAACATAATCTAAGGCTGAAACATTTTGCCCAGCAATCAAATTACTCTAATTAAGCTACTCTTACTGATTAAAAATGTTGATTAACCCAATCATTTTTATTTTAAAATGTATTAAAACACACTTTAAAAACAGAAACTAGAAAAATCACTCTTGAGTAAAAATAAAAAAAATCTCCCCCTAAACCCAGAAAATGTTAAGATGTCTGCTGTGAGATATCAGTATCATGCAAGAGCAAAGAAAGTGGGTTTTTTTCTCTTTTGAACTGCCACAAAGCTACACAGATAGTAATCAATCAACTAAAATCTTCTTAATTGCTGATGTTGTATAAGTATACGAATACCATTATTAAATAAATACAAAAGAAATTGCTTCGTTCCAAGTCAGATCACTGCTCTACCTAATTCAGTCTTGTCTTCACTTGACTAGCCAAGATTCCCGAAGAGTTTCAGGAAGGAGTTTAGAGAGAGAGAAAATTGAAATAACTTCTCAGACCCTGGGCCTCAATAACTTCTCAGAGATCTGGGCCTCAAACGCTGTGACTTATCTTTTAATTCTTAAAGAGGAAAAGGGTCGTGGTCCATTGAGTTGAAAAACTGGAGGAGTTCATAAACATGAATTTCCCTCTGAGGAAGCCTGCCCCTCTCTCACACTATGCTCCAGGTGTTGAAAGACAAACTGATCCAATGGAACTCACAGGACAGTAACTCATTTAACTCCAGAGAATAAAGTTTCTATTTTGCACTTAATAAGGCTTATCAATATTGAGCTGCTCTGCTTTACAAATAAATTCATCATTTAGATAAGCTACTCATCCTTCCCTTCCCCTACCCTATTATTTAAAACAGAATCACAGGATGTCAAGGCAGTCAGCTTTGCATCTGTGAGGTACTCACATTGACAGCAATGAAAACAAAATTCACAACCTCTCACTTTTCAAAGGAAATTCTGATGGCAAAAATGACTACTGTATGAATGGGCAAAAACACAGCTGTTGACAGGAGTGGTACTACTTGAATATCTAGAGCAATTCTAATTAGTATAGATCCTCAGCTCCCTACTTTCCTAGTAATTTATTGCTATTTCTTCCAGTTTTCACCCCTGCTTCATCTGAATCTAGTCTGGCTTTCCTTTTTGTTCTACATATAGACGGAACAGATAAAGGGATAAAGCACACTCTTGTCTGATACCTTGGCCTATAGAAACCATTCTTTCTATCCATATCCTGTCCTAATGGTAGCTTCCTATCTACAATACAGGTTACACAGCAGGACAATCAAGTGCTGAAACATAGCCATTTCTTTTTCAGTTTTATTTTAATCTTGGATATTAACAGTTCATGATCAGTACCACAATCCACTCCTGGTCTTATTCTGGCAGAGGGAACACAGCTTATTCATTTCCTGCTTCCAATTATGCAGTCTTTTTGATTTCAATCTGGTGATGTCCACATGTACAGCCAACTAATTGGTAGTTTGAAGCATGTATTTGTAGTAAAAAAAATTGTTGGCTTTGCAGAACTCTATGAGTTCCTCTCCTGCTTCATTTCTGGCGCCTAGGTCAAGGTTTCCAAAATGTAGTTCTGCTTTGTTCCCTACTTTTCTGCTCCTGTCACACATGTCTTATTTGGATGTGTGATCAAGTTCCTCCTGGATGCTTGTGCAAAAGCTTTCAATTTCATCTTCTTCAGCATTGGTATCTAGAGCCCAGATCTTTAATTATAGTTAGGTTGATAGGTTTTTCCACAGAGGCTGCTTGATATTATTCAGTCAGACCTTGCATTATAGCTCCTAAGTGCCCGTGTTACATCTTACCTGAGTATAAGAGTCACTCCATTTCTTCTGCGGTAGAACATTCTGTAGCTGTCTGACTAAAAATATTGTCTTCCAGTCCACTTTAGTTGACTGACATCAAGCACTGTAATGCTAGCAAGCTCACAGAAGAATAACCTGCCCTGAAAGTTTGCTTCCAGTAACTAGTATTCATAGAAAGACACACTATCTCTGAAAATGGAGGATCTACTGAGCACTCATGACAACAATGGATTATTAAGAATGCAACTGCTCCCCTTTCTTCAAAGCATATATTTAATTCATATACAATGTACATTTTAAGCCGGAGATTTTTTCCCTACATGCTATGGATTTTTTCAGCAAGTGAATTGTCATTGGAGAAATCTGAATTCACAGAAACAAATGTAAGTGACTAATAGTAAAATCTGTATCTGCAATTAATAAGATACTATGGGTGCCCAAATTAGCCTGGAATACTTCACAGAAATGTTTTGTTTTAGAGGAATAAAGGAATTAGTGCAGGGGAATTGCCCCAGAGGGAGACCACGGCTGTGATACAAGGATATCTGCAAGCAGGATCTGAAGGCCTTGGAAATCGATCTCAACAGATGGGAAACCCTGACATCTGGGCATTCGGCCTGTAGGCAGGCGATGCATCATGGCCTCTCCCAATTTGAAGAGACCCTTGTCCAGCAGGCCGAGTCAAAGAGGCAATCACAAAACCAGCCAAATCAGGGAGCTGGGCAGGGGATAGATTGTATTTGTCTTCAGTGTGGACAGGATTGTCACTCTCGAATTGGCCTTGTCAGCCACACTAGATGCTGTTCCAAGTCCTCCATACAGAGCATGATATCATAGTCTCTCGAGACTGAAGGATGCCTAATCAATCAATCACTGATGTGGGGAACAATCCTTCTTTTGAAAACAAAAGACCCCACAATTTAATAGTATTCCTACACATGTATAGCAAATCAGACTTCCTGGCAGGAAAGCACTTTCAACATGAGGTCCTCATATTTGAATCTGAAGTACAATTTTCTCAGTGCAACAATTAGATGGATCTGTTGGGAGGACAACCTTTCTTGTCTCCCCAAACTGAACAACGCAGGACAAGAGCTGGAAGTTGAAGTGCTAACATTTAGTTCATGTTGGAAGGAAAAATTCACCTTGTAATGTAATGTTCTCTGCATGGGAAGGTGATGGTGGGGAACATTACTGCTATAGTATCTGAAAACACAAAACCTCCTTCCTCTCAATCCTCATAACATGAATGTAATGTTTCGTGTAGCATCTATCAGGGATAGGCAGAAAACACATTAGGACCTAACAAGATATCTGGCTGAATCATTTCAGTACCTTGGCCAACTTCTGACTGCCAAATGTTTAACAAGATAATTTTTCTGTTGTGCTTATCTTTTACCCCGGCTTTGGTTTGTGGTTCTTGGGTTTCTAGTAAAATAGATCCAACAAGGCTAAGTCTACCTTCAATAATACATATATCCTTTAGAAACAAAACACAAAGGAAAAAAAAACCCAACCACACCAGGGCATTTTCAAACACATTTCATTCAGTGGGTGAAGCATGTCATCTGATCTAGGGGGCTTTCAGGGAAGAAAGTGTATACTGTACATGTACACATATATTGTGGAAGAGGAAACTGTATGATTCTCTTTCTTCCACCAGCAGAAGGGAAATCTGCAGACTCAGGAGGATACATTTCTGGTTTTCAGTTTCTCCTACTCTTCCTGCTGCATCTCCCCATGACATACAATTCTGGAAGACAGACAGGTTGCAGGAGAAAGAGTCTATGCATGTGAATGCTGAGAGAAGGAAGAGAAAGGAACAATTTGTTCTCTGACAGATCTTAAAATCCAAGCCAGAACTCTTTAACTACTGTAATGTGTACAATGACAATCCAAAACTCCACTTTTATTCTCCTAATACTTCATGTTCTAAAGGCAATATTTACCCTCCATTAACCATTTTAAAATACTGTACTGCATTCAAATAGTTCTTCTTCAAAATATGCAGGCAACAGCATGGGTTGAAGCAGGTATCTTATAAAAATACTTTTTATCCTACCTAGGATATACATTTCTCTCTAGTTGACTGAAGGCCATCTGGGTAAGGACACTGTTCTTAGATGCAGTGGAATGCTAAGGCACACTGTTATCTGGTTTCTTGTATCTAACAAGTTTGTCAATTCTGCTTCATCTTCTGCAGTCAATTGTTAATTTACCTGCAGCCAACTGTGGCTGCACACATGGATCATCTTCCCTGTCCCACTAAAGGAATGGAGAAGAATATACTATACAATATGCATTTAGCCACAGGAAAAACTGCATTTCTGTCACAGTGGCCAGTTTGTGATAAACATGCACATACAAAGAATCCTAATTAAGCATCAGCATCTGCAACAAATAATTTTCAGTGTTTCACTGTGTTTTAGAAAAATATCTCATACCAAATTAGGTAATCTGTCTACCTCAACATTTATCTACATCTGGGATAGAGAACCCATGGACCTCTAAATGTCTCTGGACATCACCAATCTCCTATTTTTGGTGTTACAGGCTGTCAAATCATCTCTAACATACAGCAGCACTATGAAGGAACAATCTCCAAAATGCCCTGTTCTCAACTGCCCTGCTCAGCTCTTGTAAACTCAAGGCTGCAATTTCCTTTAGGAAGTTAATGCATCTCATAGTTGGTCTTCCTCTTTTCCTGCTGCCTTCAACTTTTCTCAGCATTATTGTCTTTTCCTGAGAATCCTGTCTTCTCGTGATGCGCCCAAAGTAAGACAGACTCAGTTTCAACATTTTTTGCCTCCAAAGATAGTTCAGGTTTGGTTTGATCTAGGACACACTTGTTGTTCTCCATGGCAGTCCAGAGTATCTGCAAAGCTCTCTTCCAGCCCCACATTTCAAACAAATCATTCTTTTTCCTGTCAGCTTTCTTTACTGTCCAGCTTTCACACATTAGCTCCAGCCAAAAGTCAAACATCATGGCAGCTGTAATCTAACAGCATGTGAAGGGCCACACGTTTTCTGCTTTGGGTCTACGCTGACCCCCAGCTGCTCTCCAAGGTTTTAGACAGCTGTCATTCCGAACTGCTATGATGAGATGTGGGAGGGGAAGGTGCAACCTGCTACACACCAAGCACACCCTCTACCACTGAAATATTGCCTCTCCTCTTAAAAAAAGGAAAGTGTTAACTGAATTTTCTTCTCACAAGACTTTAAAGGGGAGGAAGAGAAAGCAGGATGGGAAGGGAGGGAGAGAGAGACAGCACATTTTAAGAGAAATGTCTGTTATTTTTCAGAGTACAATAAAATAAAGAATCAGTGTTTTGAAATGGCTATGGCAGGAGATAAAAGTACAAAGCAGACTTGTGAAAACTAATCTTCTCAAGTGTCTTAACTGGCCTTAAAAAAAGAAAGAAAGAAAATAAAAGCTAGAACACAGATAGCTGAAAGAGAAATACTAAGGACAGCACTAAAATACTTCTCTAAATTTCAACAAGTGAATTTAGGAGAGAAAAGTGTTTTGATAAACAAAACCATTAACAAAAACACTGTTCATTTTTATATGCTTCAGATGAACACATAGCAACAGAAAGCATAGAAACAGCTCTAATTTCTGATCTTGAATAGGACACTCTGCAATACAAGAGTTAGGCTATGTAAAGGTTTATAATGAGAAAAAGAGCAGTGAGTTATAAAACCTGGAAGAAATATTACCCTTTGCATATAGATCAAAGCCTGTAAGATGGCAATAGGGTGATTGTCATATGGAGGGTGACTTTGAAAAGCAGATTATACTCAGTAACATGGTGGAGCAACAGTCCTACAATACTGGCAGTGATTAGTTTGATGGATGTAAAAAAGTTCTGGGAACATATTTGGCCATGCCAGCTTAATAAAACCAGCACATTCAGATGTTTCAAAGTACAAGACTTCAGGGAGAAATTGCAATTCAAGTTTGATATTTCCTACAGTTTTCTATGGTTGGGAAAATAAAGCAGGACTAGATTTGATTTGGACCAGCAGGGTTTTGTTACTGGATCTAGATCTACTAATGTCACTTGTCCTATTCATTTTAATGGGTCTGCTAAAGCACAACTAAATCTGCCTTATGTTCTACATTAATAAAACACAAGTCATTCTAGAAGGGACAGTGTCCCTTCTTATGCAAAATAGACTTTCTTTTAGATTAAAATGATGATTGGGCTGGGGCACCTCCCTTATGAGGAAAAACTACAGTGTTTGGGGCTCTTTAGTCTAGAGAAAAGGTGCCTGGTGTGGGGGGGACATGACTGAGACACATAAAATTATGCAGGGGGTGGATAAAGTGGACAGAGGGAAGCTCTATTCCCTCTCACACAATACCAGAACCAGGGGGCATCCACTCCAATGGAGTGTTGGGAGTGAGAACAGACAAAAGAAATTATTTCTTTACCTAGCATGTTGTTAGTCTATGGTACTCCTTGCCACAGGATGTGGTGATGGCATCTGGCCTAGATGCCTTTAAAAAGGGATTGGACAAATTTCTGGAAGAAAAGTCCATTGCACACTGGGAAACGTAACTGAGGTGGTTTTCTTCACTATTTGAACTCAGTGCAACCCCCTCCCCATTGCTAGCAAAATGTCACTCAAAGAGGCTTGTCCCCACAGGCATTTGTCTCACCGTTTAGTGTGGGGATGGGTCAGGTTGGTCCACACCTTGTTCCGGTGAAGACCAATCTGCCCCAACCTGCATCTTTTTGAACTCCGGCCAGGAGTTTCTACTGTTCTGAAGTGGGTTGGAGGGCTTTACTTTAATCCATTTCCAGTGACTATGGATGCTTGAAACGGATGAAACCAGAGCCTTGCATCTCCTTCTGGTGTGCTGTGCTATAGTCTGTTCAACATCAAAAAGTTGTGGCCAGAGCATCAGAAACATCTCAGCAAAGAACTGACCAAATCATCCATTCTCCCAGCATTGGAGCGAGGAAAGGAATCTGCACATCTGCCAGGATTATCACCTCCTGCTTTGGTGGGCCCAAAACTAGGGGGGGTAACCAGATGTCCACTGTACGTGCTTTGCCAGTGGCACACTCACTATAATGAGCGTGACAAGTGAAAACATGGAAGCCCGTATGACCCAAAACTAGGGGGGTTTTGGGTCCACCAGTGGCACACTCACTATAATGAGTGTGACAAGTGAAAACATGGAAGCCCGTATGTCATTATAACATGGTTTTTCAACAACTGTTCCCAGCAACATGGGAAAACCATACCTTAAAGCGGCATAGCTTTACTTATTCAAGAGAGGTTTTGTAGTTCTACATCCACTCCACCCTGACTCAACAGCAGATCAGATCCCAGTCTGGCATGAAAGAAAGAGGGCCTCCTTGTTCCCTTTCCTTCTGCAGACTGCCTGAAATCCTCTCAACCCTAGGGGGATCTTAGACAATAACAGGATGAAGTGTAGGATGTGGCTCGGGACTAGAGAAATCACTCAGAATCAGATTCTACTCATGGGAAATGCACTGTACTTGATATTAAGCTATTTCTCTCACAATCAATAGGCTGTAATGCTGCGAACAAGTGTCTCCCAGGCCTCACTGAGTCTTTTCATGACATACAGGGGACTACGATAGGGAGCCAGATAATTCAGTTACACAAGGCTTCCTACCTCCAGCATTAGATTCAAACCAGTATCCCACTGCTTCTTTCCATAAACAGCTATTTAAATCTTCTTTTTTTTCCAAACAAAGCTTGATTTCATCTGAACCACAGGGGCTAATGTACGTACAAGGGTGAAAAAGTCAGGGAAAGCACTGGAAACCTTTCTGGGCACATATGGTTAATTTTGCACCACACCTAAGCAATGTTCCCTCTAATTTCCCACCCCTCTCGCATGCAATCCCGCCCCTCTGCATAACTCCATCCCCTGCACAGGGTTCCTTCACAGCTGGAACTGAAAGGGCTGGAAACGATTTCTGTGGGTGCGCAGAAGGAGGAGGAAAGCTCTGCACAAAGGGGGCCAGAGTCACACGTGCTTGTGCAGCTGCACACCTTAGTGGGAATTTTGCACCTAAGTGAAGGAAGAACTATGAAGATGGCAGGACACAGATGCACCAGCAACTAAGGTGGAGAAGAGAGGGAGATACATATTTATCATTACAGCCTCCAGAATCCCCCAACCACTAATGCCATATCCATTCCATGAGTTTTGCAGGCATAACACCAAGAACAAGATCAGACTGCAGAACTGCAATAAATACCTCTTGTCTTTAATTATCCATGTGGAGCTTTCATGATCGATTGATGAAAAAAGGGTTCCTTCTAATTCAGGAGAAAGAGGATCTTTCAGTGCTATGTTAAGATGATCTGGAGAAAAGCGTATCTGGATGTCCTCTTTGGTGAAGTCTTCAGGCAGGCGAAAAGTGATGGTCAAATCATCTTCAGTCTGTTGCCAATAATACAGTGGCTCTGTAAATGGGAACATTAAAATGGAATACAGAATGGGTTAAAAAGTACAGTACCAAGAACACTTGCTTGAAGATTTGTTCTGTTCCATGTCTCTGGTATTCTCCTTTGCAACGCAACAAGACTCACAAACAATAATCACAGAAGGATGAGCTAACTTCAAAAAAAAACAACCAAAAACAAAAACAAAAAAATCCCCCACATCTAATCAGAATTTCAAATTCTTACATGCAGTTTCAGTCATCCTAGCAAAACTGTATTCATTTCTGATTAAGTTTCTAAATGAAATCAAATTAGTCTCTTTTAAGGTAATTTTACTGATTGCATGCTGCCTTGAGATCTGTTGATCCAGGGCAGATTATAAATAAATAGATAAACAAATAATTTGTGACAATACTGCTCAGAAATTGGTGAGTTTTGCATAAATCATCATTCTCCCCTATGCAGAAATGCTAAGATATTTCTTGCCACTGAAGAAAAGAACATTGTAACTCCTTGTCTTTGCATGTGATAAAAAGGCAGACAAAGATTTTTATTACTATCCTGGTGTAACTTAATTCTCCCCATGCCCTATAACACAGGGAGAGAGGACGGTATCTATCAAGAGAGAGGATGGTATCTGTCAAGAGGCACGTCACAGCCTAAGGGTATGTCACTGGAAATTCACAGAAGGGAAAGGGAAACTAAACACACATTTGTTATTTTTGGAAGCAACTGCTTGCATATTTCCAGGTTGTTGTTGTTTATTAAACTTATATATCGCCCATATGGAATGTGTCTACTCTGGGTGGTATACACAAAATATAAAAAATAAACTAAGAAGGTATAAATTACCTAAAGATTCAACCCAAATTAACAGCAGAATCCAAAATGGAAAAAGAAAATACAAATAAAAATAGGCTAGGTGATGGCTGTAGAGAAGGCCTGCCTGCATAACCATGTCTTCAGATTGGTCTTAAAGGCCCTCAGCGAAGGGGCCAGGTGGATCTCTGCAGGTAAATTGTTCCAGAGATGAAGGGCCACTGCCAAGAAGGCCTGGTTTTAAGTTTTTCCCTTCAGACCTCTCTTGACATTAGGCCCCTCATCCACCCGGCCTGACTGGAATGTGTGATATGGACAGAACTAGGCGGAAGAAGGCACTCTGCCAAGTATCGAGGGCCTAAATCATTTAGTGCTTTATATGTAATAGTCAGCACCTTGAAATCGATGCAGAAGCAAACAGGTAGCCAGTGTAAGATGGCCAGTGTGGGGGTACGTATATGGTAAAATCTTTTCAACCCTGTCAATAGCCTGGCCACCGTGTTCTGGACCATTTGAATCTTCTGCATCAGTCTCAAAGAAAGCCCCACGTAGAGAGCATTACAGTAGTCTATTCTTGAGACTACGAGTGCATGGACCAACGTGGTGTGTGCCCCCACGTCTAGATAAGGTAGATAGCTGGGCAATTGCCAAAGATGTAAGTGGGTGGACCAAACCACAGACGCTACCTGGGTCTCCATAGTGAGCGCTGGATCAAGATGGACCTCCAAACTGCTAACTGCATTCTTTGTGGTGAGAGTTGCACCCCCCCAGAGAAGGAGTTCCCCAAACCACTGACATCGGGGGCGCCCACATGCAAGACCTCCATCTTGTCTGGGTTCAACCTCAGTCCATTCAACTGCATCCATTGTAGGATGGCCTCCAGGCAGTGCTCAAGGGGTGGAGCGGCATCCACTGCAGATGGAAGAAAGGAGATGTAGAGCTGGGTGTCATCAGCATATTGGTGACACAAAGCTCCACATCCCCAGATGACACCCCCCCCCAGTGGCCTCATGTAGATGTTAAACAGCATTGGGGAGATGACTGAACCCTGTGGAACCCCACCACTGAGGGACCACAGGGATGATACATATTCTGCATTCTGGACTCTCTGAGGATGGGTTTCCAAGAAAGACCAGAACCAAGCAAGAGCAAGGCCACCACCCCCTAACTTGGAGAGCTCCCCAGGAGGATATCGTGGTTGATGGTATTAAAGGCAGCCAAGACATCAAGGATGACGAGCAAGGTCATTTTGCCCCTGTTGGCCTCTCTAAGTAGGTCATCCAACAGAGTGACCAATGCTGTTTCCATGCTGTGGCATGACCTGAAACCCGACTGAAATGGATCCAGGGCGTTGGTTTCATCCAAAAGGGCCTGAAGCTGATCGGCCACCACCCTCTTAACTACCGATATCGTGGTTGATGGTATTAAAGGCAGCCAAGACATCAAGGATGACGAGCAAGGTCATTTTGCCCCTGTTGGCCTCCCTAAGTAGGTCATCCAACAGAGTGACCAATGCTGTTTCCATGCTGTGGCATGACCTGAAACCCGACTGAAATGGATCCAGGGCGTTGGTTTCATCCAAAAGGGCCTGAAGCTGATCGGCCACCACCCTCTTAACTACCGTATTTTTTGCTCCATAAGACGCACCTCCAAATAAGACGCACCTCATTTTTAGGAGAGGAAAACCGGAAAAAAAATATTCTGCAAATTCATAAGGCAGTAGCAATAGATAGATGTTGTCACATCAATTACCTCAAACTTCTTGCAGTGTACAACACAGTGAGAGCTTTTGAACAATTTGTAGTTGGCAAAGTTATTCCAATAGCCACAGACAACAACACTGTAATACTTTATATCCTAGGTTCTTAACCTGGGCGGTAACGCCCACCAGGGGGCGTTTTCATTTTTCAGGGGGGCGGTAGAATGAAAAGGGGCGGCGTGGGGGCGAAAGGAACAGAAGGGGGCGCTAGGGGGGCGGTGGAGCAAGCTGCCCGTAGCCTGCACACACACACACACACACACCCTCCCTCCCTCCCTCTCTTCCCCCCACCTTTTCAAAGTAAGTCAGGAGAGCAGTCTGAGCCGGGGGTTGGAGAGGGGGGGGTCGACACGCTCCCTCCCTCCCTCTCTTCCCGATCCTTTTCAAAGTCAGGAGAGCACTCCCTGCAGTGGCTTGGAGAGGCGGGGAGGGGAGTGAGTTGTGC